CCATCCATCCATCCATCCATCCATCCATCCATCCATCCATCCATCCATCCATCCATCCATCCATCCAACCATAACCCACTTCATTCTACAATCAGTCATGAAAAAGACTGCTAAGTTTTGAACTTGAACTCTTAAAGGACGACTCAAATCTACTGGCTTATTGCAAACAATTACATCGTGTTTTAAGTATCAACAAGGCAGTAAAATTTAGCAAAAAAAGAATAAAGCTGATGTCAATCAAGCAGATTATAATTGGAGAAAGAGCAAGTAGAAAGAAGATATTAGAACAGAGTATATTTCCCTAAGGGTAACATGAGTAACTTGTCAGAGCAATATAAAGCACAAAGTGAATGAGAAACACAACTCAAACTGATGAGCAGTTGAGATGAAAAGGAACACACGGACTATGTGGCGCCATAAATAAATCACAATTTCAATATAAGTTAATAGGTGTGGCATGTTAATGTTAGTTTGTTTGTTTGTTTTTAAGGCATGGTCTCCACCGATCTGATGGAGGTATCTGTAAACATCATAAGCCAAAAAGTGTGTAACAGCATGGATGTGTATAATGGCTTAGTGACCGAGAACATGATCTGCGCTGGGAAATTAGAGGGAGGCAAAGACTCATGTCAGGTGAGCTGAATGGTCAAATTACAATTCACAACAACTGACTCATTCCTTTCTGGATTTTRTTAAGAGGCATTTAAAGTACTAGAATAACCACGTAAAAACACATTAACAGAAAATAACTTTGGTAAAAATGAATTTCACCTTACTCAACTCTTCATTCTTTTCAGGATGAGTTCCGGTTAGTTTAAAATTTGTTGAGTGTAGGTGCTAAATATTAAAGTAAAGAAATAAAAGTATCATATTTATGTTTTGAATGTAACTAAATAGAAATAAAAGTTATGATTGAAAAAAGTTTAAACCAAAGCAACTCTTTCTTTTTTAGTTGAAGATGTTTGCTCCTCACCTGTGAAGCTTTTACATTTCAAATGAAAAGTGCAGAGTTCTCCATTTGCTGAGACTGACGGTGACTTGTATCATTTAGGGTGACAGTGGTGGACCTCTGGTGTGTCAGGGCCAGGAGAACAATCTGTGGAACCTGGTAGGGATCACAAGCTGGGGAGCTGGATGTGGGGAACAAAACAAACCTGGTGTTTACACCAAAGTCAGAAATGTCTTGCCTTGGATCTACAGCACCATGCAGGTAAGAAAAAAATAAGCATTGAAGCTTTGATGATGAGCATGCACAGGTTACCATGTTAACTCCTCTTTTGCTCCCCTGCAGCAAGAAAGACCTTGATGTCTCTCCAGCTTTGCACGCTTACAAATGAAGCCACTTTGTCATCTTTGATCAACAAGCATTATAAAAAGTCCTCCACAAGAGTGTGGGCAAAATTGTACAAGTTAAATAAATTCAGCTCAAAAATAACTTGTTTTGCACACAAGACAAAACAAATATATTGTATTTAAAGAAATCAATGCACTGATATCAGTATTGCATTTGTTTGTTTTAGTCTTTATTATGGGGGATTTGGTTCTTTCCAAGGTTTGTCGTAACAATAAAATCGTATTTTTTCTCAGTGCTATTTTTTTTGTTAAACAAGATTCTTTTTTTTACCATATAAATAAAAAATAACATTTGTTTTGGGAGCATAACCTTTACAGTCATTCATCTTATTGTGTTGTTGTCTTTGCTCTCTTTATTTACAACCATCCAGTCTACATTGTGCATTGGAGCATAGACTGCAATGGTTAAAGGGGGGGGGGGGTCTTTGATATGGAGTTATGATTTTGTGAACACGATGTCTGTGGAGAAAGGAGAGAGGCAGAGAGAAAAGGTGACAGAGAGGACTAAGCAGCTGCTCCAGGAGCCACAGGATACGAGCAGCAGATGAGAAACACTGAAAGAAAATCTGACTGAAACAAACTGATTTATAATTTTATTTTTCAACTGGGTGGACAGGTCTTTCCTTTAGCCAAAGATCCGTTGGAGAGAAACAGGTAGGTTGATGTTTGATTTTGTAGATTATGTGATTTTTTTTTTTCTGAAAATTGTCTCTGACGCGTGGTTGGAGCAAATTGTCCTCCATTTCTCCTGTCGCTGCTTGTATTGTTCAAAAATACAATAACTGAATGGTGTAGTTCGGAATGTCATTGAACTATAATTATTTGTCTGATAAATAAATTCAAGTGACGTGCTTGCGACATGCACACGTGTGCGTGTTTAATTACAGCACGAGGGTGTGTCTGTTTGCGACGCTCAAAACGTAAATAATCCCTCATGTATTCGACTCTTTAAAACAAGTTTGTCACGTTTTGGAGAATTTTTCAAGTCTTTTTTTTTAAACGAAGAAGCAATACCATGCAGGCGGATGGTGGCTTTGTTTCTCCGCCACGTGAGATGATCAACAGATTGAGGGGCGCAAAAGTGCACGAATGCGTCTCACAGCGTAGTCGAGACATCCATCGTGCCAAAACAGAAACAATAGACTGTAATAATAATAATAATAATAATAATAATAATAAAAATGAAATTAAAAACAGGAGACTGAACTCCTGAGGAAACCCCAAACAGAAAAACGCGTCTGCTCTGAACTCTCAGTCACTGTTGGTTATTTGACGGATTTTTACGCATGGCGCTTTGACTTTGAAGGCGCACACGGCGCGCCACACCCTAGACGTTCACGAGCCTGTTCGTTTCATATGACACGAGACACCGAGATGACAGGAGACCCGTTTCTCGTTTGGGCGCCACAATTTTCAGATGGAGACATCTGTTGCCATGGAGATAATCGGACACTGAGGGACGACGCACGTTGTTGTCACGGAAACGTGGCAATAATTTTATGACGGCGGATATTACGAGGGGATGGAGTTCATGAGTTGTGACCCATTTAGCTGCCCTACATTCTGTTGGTGATGGAAGGCAGACCACGTGACTGATAATTTTTGTCCTTAGCTTTTTATTTAACCACACATTTGTTTGCCACACTAATTATTTGCACACAACCAGTGGTTTTGAGAAATTATATGATGGAAAACGTCAGGTTATTGTGTTTTTATAAACTTTTTGCTCCTCTTACTTTTTTTGCCATCTGTTTTTTTCCCCTGCTCTATGTGCAACAACATTTTATTTTAATATTTTGTGCGTTTTTCTCCTCGAAATGTCACTCGTGTTTGCAACAGACTGCCTCCCCACTGTTCTCTCCACCTCAGTCTCCTTCTGCATGCCCTTCACCTGGACTCCCCACCAGACTGTTTTTCCCCCTGTGTGCTTGTCTAACTGTATTTGTCCCTGCATGTTACAGAAAAATAAGCTCCTTGCCTGAAATTTTAATCATCTCCCTAGAATGAACATGGTCATGCTTGTTTCTTTGTTTTCCTAGATAAAAATGGATCTAAACACTGACATTGCTGAACAACAARGTAAAGATGAAGGTGCCATAGTCTGCACAAATGGCATCCCCAGACCTGGCTTAATGGGGTGCTCACATGATGTGGGATGTCAATATCCTGGGGTTGTGCATCAAAACCAAGGCTGTAAAATAATTTGAAATTTGACTATGCTGTTGTTGTAAAATGAATTGAAATCTTTTGAGAAAAAAAAACGATTTAAGGAAGCATACACATCAGTTTTTTTCTTTTGCAGATAACGTTATGTATTATGGGATGTGCACAGATCGACACAAGTTACAGAGCAGTTCAGTTTTAATGTGTTCTGTGTCTTTACATACAATGTGTTGTCATAGATCATCGTTACATTAAGCTTTTTGTCCTTTTCCATAAAAATGTCCATAGTGCAAATGGGATGCATCGAAGAAAACATTTAGTAGAAACAAGTTTCTCAAATTTAAAGCCACTTCTTCTAATTAAAAACAAAACAAAACAAAAACAAAAACGTTTTCACTTCCTACTGATTTAATCTCCTGAGAACTTCAATTTAATGATGAGGACATTTGTTTAAGATCATCCTTAATCAGTGGGATTTTTGGTTTTATTTTCATTTCTAAATAAATTAATGATTTATATTTTAAAATCATCAAACAATATTTGTATTTTTATTTATCCTGAACAGTGAGCGGAAATTTAAAAAAGCACAAAAAATAAATGCTTGGGACTCAAAAGGTTAAAACTGTCTTGATAAGGAGCCAAAATGCTCATGCAAAGCAATTTTGACTTTGATGAAAACAATTTTAATACTGAATTTTTAAACGTAACAAAGTTTCAGAGCCTGACGTTGTTTAGCATCCAGTTTGTTTAATCATTCAAAGGTTTATCTGCAACAGGTGAGATGTTAACTATTATTCAGAAACATACTTCAATCTTTTTAGGGCAAACATAGTTTGAGAATACCAAGTTCGTAATCACAATTATCTCTTTTGCCACCAGTTTGTCCTCCACTCTCAGCATTTACAATAACAGCATCATAAAGTTTATTTCAACCCCTGCATGTTTAAACACGCGGGTAAAGGAGGGTTAGAGCAAACTATTTAGACACAGTTTGCAAAAATTGAATCAGTTCAGGCAGCGTCTTGTAAATTACTTTTTTTTCCACATTACAAGAGACATCTTCCTCCACTCACACATCACACAAAACAACCCTCTCTTATTCTGAGCTTTATCGATCAAGTGTTTGGCTTTTATTTCTGGACTGTGTTCATGTTCCTTTAGATTCTGCAGCCACATATTATAAACCTTTGCTGTAAGATTTGCCATTAACACCTGACAAACGTGAGAAAACTTATCTTTCCAACATGGTCCCATTCCATCAGTGATGGCACATGCATTGTTGCACATTATGCTGCTGAACCATAACTACCAGTTGCCATTTACATTGTAAGATAATTCTCAAGCGATATTTAATATTTTTATCACCCTATCTCTAAAATTAGCAAATTATTTTACAGATTTCTTTAAAAAATAGAGTTTTGTGACAGCATGCGGGCTGTGTGAGATTTAATTAAAATGGATGCAGATCATCCTAAAAATGAAGCTATATGTAAACATATAAAAATAAAACTGAATGAAACGTGGCATAAAACACTAAGCCCTGAAATAGTTAGTGTTGTTTTCCAATTATTAAAACATTCTTAGATTATTGTTTTCAGACTATGCTGTGCTGTACATCAGTAATCACAAGGAATAAGACATTATTTTATATGCAGCTCTTTAAAGCTACTTTTTTAATTAGCTTGAAAAAAATAAACTGTTTTCTAGCTCAAGCAATTTATTTGAGAGAACCATCATAGATGACGGTTATTGGGTACTTGTCACAGTTTTCACGCCTGATTTAGTTTCGCAATGATCTGTAAAAAAATGAGGAATTACAAAATAAAAGACAAATGAAGATAAACAATTTTATCTGCAAAGTTTCCATACAAATATGAATAGTCAGTAACTAACATGCAACATCATATCCCAACAAGCTAGCATCTTTGAATGGTAAAAGTAATAAGACACAGTCAAAATAGACTGAGAATAATAAAAAAACAACAATATTTATGTTAATTTTTATTCAATTATTCTATGTCTTTGTCCATGTTGTGATTTTTGTTTAATGAACTTTATAGGATCCTTATTTATCATGGTTACAGCATTTTATACTTTTTGCACTGTCTTTGACTCTGCACAGTTTGTTTTAGTCTTTGATGTGTTCGTTTTTCAGGTCTTCCTACAAAATATAGTTTATTTTATATTCAGCTTGAATAACAAACTGTTGAATCTTATATTCTCTGCCTCCTTTTTGCAATCAAGGTGTGAAAGACAAACATATTTGGCAGAAATACAAAGCTAAAAGCAAGGCTAAAAATACCACTCTCCATTCCTCAGTCTACATCTAATGCCACATCCTTTCAGAGACATCCCAAGAAGTAAAAAAAGAACATAAACACTAAGGACCTACATCTGTGTTGGAAAGCTATAGTCAACATATCTGCCAATGACACTAATGGACCACTGATGCAGCTGACGGATAGATGAACATAAATGGACCTTGGGAGAACCAATCAGCCACACGCTGGAAAGAAACGATGATGTGTGGCCTGGTTGCTTTTGTGGTAAAGRGTGTCACACACACCCTCTGGACTCTTAAAAACCAAACTACCAAAACTGGTTTTAGACAGGCTATCAGTCATAGGAGCACTATTTTAAATATCAAGATCCAATATTAACTATGAATTTGCTTCCGARGCAGCAAGATACAGACTCTGTGTGAACATGTTAATTTGTTGAGCAAACCTTTGTTCAACAGGTTAATTGATGATGGTTGACTCGGAGCACATGGATGGGTTTTGTGCTCTGAACAGGCTACATGAAAATAGGCCAAGGTTGTGTGACGTCCACTGGGAGGAAAGAATCCTCMCTGCCAGGAAAAGAAGAGCATGGTCGGCTCTTTGCATGGATCGTTACACAAGATGGAAACTAAATCGACAGGCTTTTTTATGTTCTTGTTATGAARAGTTAAACTCCAGAGGTTTGGATAGTGTGAATTAGACATTCTGRCGTTATAATCTGTGTGGTGCATCATTATCCAGATTTATTTGTTGTTTCTTTTTATCTTTTATGTCCTCAGTGACAGATGGCTGAAGTAATGTGTCTTATATTTTGTTTGTTGAGTTTTACTTTCAATCTCATCCTTTACCTCTTTGTTACTCTTTATCAACAGCTGCCATGGAAACTGTTTTGCTCATCTTCTCTTCACTCCTGGCATGGGTTGCTGGTAAGTTCCCTCTAATCATGAAACACACACAAACCTGCACCTCTACAAAATGTCCATGGGGAGGCACTGTTGAGGCAGAGGGGGACTTCGAAAGGAGCAGCCATTCTGGGTGTGACTCTCGGCAAAACATCTATTACCCCTTTAATGGTTCATGTCTGGATTCTTGCAGGCTCTGTTACTGTGTGTGTGTGTGTGTGGTCTTTTTGAAGAAGATGTCAACATTACAAATAAACTATTCTTATCACACTTATATTTTGTGTAATTAAACAATGTTTGAGTAAATTTCATCCCTAATTTTTTACTTTAATCTGATTTTTTCCCACACTTGTACTCTTTTCATCTCATTGGCGCCTCTTAGCTGCAGAGGACCACAATGCAGAGGGTAAGTGGCCTACTTTCAGCCTCTGACAGGGTTAAAAATGATGAATAGGTGAATTGGTTTTCTAGATCAACCCTGTGGGGACTGCTGCCCTGTGCAATAAACAGTCACATAATGGACAAAATGAGTCCAAAAAAATACCAGACTGGAATTTTTTAATCATCGATTTTAGGGGAAAATGAAACAGTAAAACTAAGCAAAATCATGTGGAAATTATATTATTGTAATTTGAAATCTGATTTTCTGAAATATATGTTCATGCCTAAAACATCAGTTTCAATTGGTAGATTATTTAAAGTGGGGTGGTGTAAAATGGCTGTTCTTAAACTCTTTGAACAACCTCAGTTTATAGCAGGTCTATTCAACTGGCAGCTCGAGGGCCACATCCGGCCCTCGATTGACCAAAATGCGGCCAGCCAATTGCTTCATTCATCTCTTAAATCTAGACATAGAAATGTTTGTTATCTAGAGAAATGTCAGAATCTTGGCTAGAAGCTGGTAAAAACCATTTCTATGAATTAAAGACAGTTAAAACTACAAGCAGTTAAATGTAAAATTATGAAAGTGAAAAATAAAATTGGTTTAAAATTTTTGCAAGTCAGAGATGTCAACATAATATTTATGTTAAATAGGAGGTATAATTTGTGTTTTTTGATATTGTTTTACTATCACTACATACAGGGTTCTGTATGTTAAACCCATGATTAAATGCAACAAAATAAAGTAATTCAAAAAAAAATCTTTGTACTACTTGGTGTATTTACAAAATGACTTTATTGCTGGATGTTTGGCACCTGTGCCATTGGTCTGCATTAACTGTGGCCCCCAGAGTAATTTAGCTGAATAGCCCGGTTTACAGAAACAGAGTTTCTGATTGGATCAGTGGGGTAACAACTAGTTTGAACAGGGCTTTGAACAAAGTGTATTAACAGCTCCAAGTTGAAAAGTTTCCAAGCGGTTGATGAAAATTTTAATTCTTACATTTTTACACTGCTTGTTATTGATTTTGTATCAAGCAGCTTTTCCTGCAGGAACATGATACTCCTGCTGGAAACACTTCTGGCTTCATCACAAGTGATAGAATTATAGTCGATGTGCTGCTGTTGAAATTAACTAATGAATGTGTAAGATGAAACTGGCTGTAAAATAGTGTTTGCTTGAGCTTCTATAGAGATCGGAGTTGTTTTAGGACAACATTCCTATCCGGGCTTGACCTCACTCAGACTAGCTGTTAGCTCGTCACTTCAGTTCATCAGAATAAAACTGTTTTTTTTTCAAGCTGAAGTTGTGAGATTTATTCATAAATTCAACACTTTATATTTTAGAGTGCATAAACAACTCTTTTCTTGATGAGTTCCGGTTATTTAAAAAAAAATGTCCTGTGTAACTAGGTGTTAAATTTTAAAGCAAAGAAGTAAAAGTATCATTTTTATGTTTTGAATGTAACTAAATAAAAGTTAGTTACAATAAAAAATTGGTAAAATTACACATCCTCAAAAAATTGCTTAAGTACTAGCAAATTAAATACTTGGTTACTTTACACCTCTGTTTTTTATGCTCACAGATGGCGAGGCAAAAGTTGAAAATCCTTTCATTTATGGTGAGTTTAGAGAACTTTGAATTATCAACATGTTGCCTGACAAACAAACAACAAATCTAAAGAGTATCTTACCATTCTTAAATCTGACTCTGTCCTTTTTCTTTCAGACTATGAGACCTTGAGAATTGGAGGACTGGCGTTTGCTGTGGTGCTCTTCACTCTCGGCATTCTCCTCATCCTCAGTAAAGATCTTTGCTTGTTTCGCCACGTCTCTGTATGCACATGATGTAGCTTAGTGTTGAATTAAAGTTAGTTTCTGTAAGAACTTACAACACACCTAGCACATACTTTTATCTGCATTTTTCTATACCTCCCTTTGCAGCAATGGCATCATGCCTCTCTAATCTGACCTTTTTAGAGTGCAAACATTGTTTCATTTGTTTGTAGGTCGGCGATGTCGCTGCAACGTGAAGCAGAAGCCCAGGTACACCGGCGTCCCTTTCTGATTGAATAAAAGACTTGGTTATGAAAGGC